CACTTTCATTACGGCAGAGTCACATTGTATTAATTTATTGACATCCATGTACATCTGTATATTGAGCATAATAAACCAGCGAGGCTCCACAGCAACAACCTTCTACATGCGAATAGAGTCGCTCACCAGTAAGCGCCTTGGCCCACTCTCCGTAAGCGCCATCTGTTGCATCAAACAGAAACAGCCCAGGCGGCAAACGCCCCTCAACTTATTCTTACAACGTGAACAAAGCCAAGCAATTTCAAATCGCTACAACCTCCCTGCACCCACAATTTTTTTTTTTCACTGTTAAGGGCACAACTTCTTGGCTCGCTTGTAAGAAGCGTTCCACCAAAATAAAGTAACAACAGCACTCGCCCCTTTGCCCGGAGACGGCACGGGATATTTATCGCCGGGACGACCTAACTTCAAACAAGAAAAATGTTGCATGAGCTCCGTTGTTTTGACAGCAAATGTGCTGGATGGCAACGACGGCATTTGCAGCATGTCAACTTTGTTTGCGCACGGACAACATAGTATACATTCTTAGCATGCCATAACCGCGTTGGCTGACTGGCCAACTGGCCCAATCGTTCACTTCACAGACTAAGAAATTCATATTTCCCAAAAAGCATTGGTGACTACGTTTTTTTTTTTGCTTTAAGTTTCCTTATTTTATTGATAGGCATCAGCTGTGGTCAGCAGACTGACAGGAGTGCACGGAGTTGTTAGCGAGTGTCTATCGGGTATATAGCCTACACCGTGGCTTGGGGTTACGATTTGCGTGGTTGTCTTGATTGATGACACAAAGTGCAGGTGGCGAATGTGGCCTCTGTTTCTCGCTGAAATTAGTGCACCTGAGATAATTTTGAGGCTGTTCGGGTATTTTGGCATAATGCAGTGCAATTTCAGCTAATTTCATGGTTTTAGTGCAGCTGTTGAAACCATGTTATGCATCAAGAAAAATAATTTTTTAACTCTTAAAACTTTTGATAACTATTTCACTCACCCACTATATACTGTGTGAGTGCATGTGTGCGTGTATGTGTGTGCGTGTGTGTGGAAGTATGGAGGAAAAAGTTGGGCCCCCTGCCCCCTCCGGGAATATGCAACTCTCCACCTATTGGCCGCGAAGTCGAGCAGAGTCACCGCCCGGCGGCAACTGGCCGAAACGGTGAAGTATGGATTGCTCCTTGGGTCGTCTGCTAACTCGGGTGTCGTGTTTATATGTGCACGTACATCAGGCACATTCTCAAAATGTGGTTTTTCTGGTCATGTCAGTGCAAGTGTACAGTAAAAGCTCGACACCTCGGATTACACGGGACCGGAGAAAATGTCTGAGTTAACCGAATTGCAAATTATCGAATGGACCATGAAAACAAAAGGAAAACGTACACAACACAGACAAACTTATTTCTTAAAAAGTGCGTTATTTTTGCCTGCCTCGCCGTCAGAATTTCCAAACGAACGATCTTATTTAATCCCATTAGGTGGTGTGCGCAAGTTCACTGTTGCGAGAACAAACGCAGAACTCCTCCAGGACAGCGAGGGCTTTGGCGGCCTCCTGCACGGTGCGGCAACGTCGCGTCGGCTCATCACACCTTTCAATATCATAACCTTTCTTTCAAGATCATTTGCTGGCTGCTGTGGCCGCTTGACTCCTGTGACGGTCGCCATAAAGTGCGACGGCGGGGACAACGCGCACAAACACAGCCGCAACACACGAAGTCACAACACAAAAAACCAAGACACGGAGTAGTACACCAGTAGGCGTAGCATGGGCGTACCGAGCAGCTATTAGTAGACTGGATGCACCGGTGGCCCAAGCGCTTCCGCCGGGTGGTGACTAACGCCACCTAGCCACTTCCCCCTCATTCACTATCATCATCGTCATAATCTACTGCCGTTCGCTCGGTTTCAGTTTTTCCAAACCTCCGGTTCTGCCGTCGGTTACGGCAAGCGGTGCTTGAGCCTCTAAGTCGACGAGATCGCGCTACTCTGGAGTCCCGATAACCCTTTCCGGATTTGTCCGAGATAATCGGTACGCGGCTAAGTCCCTCTGAATTAATGAGCATTTAACCTGATTATACACAGTTTCGCCAGGACCGTGCCGTCGAGAGTCCGAGTTGATCGAATTTTCGAGTTAACGAGGTCCGCATAAACAAGCTTCTACTGTAATTGTTTCTAGTATGCCTGAAACGATGTACCAACTTTCCAGAGTGCCGTCCGTCCGTCCGTCATCCATCCGTCATCCATCCGTCCGTCCGTCCGTCCGTCCATCCGTCCGTCCATCCATCCATCCATCCATCCATCCATCCATCCATCCATCTTTAAGATAGCTGGCTCCCCGCAGTCGTCCACATAGCCGATCTTCGCCAGTGAGGAGACGCGTTCATAGGAGAGATGAAACGAAGGTTTATTTACATGATAGTTGAAAGATAGGAACTATACAGGAATTCTGACGATCCCGCATTATGTACAACCGAGATTCAGTTCATGATTCAGCTCATGATTCCGCTCTTAATTACAAAAGGCTTCGGCTTTTATACCCCGCCGTCTCTTTACACGGAGGTCTGAAGAAGGCGATGAGCACTCACGCCACAAATCAGGTGACGAAGTTTCAATGGTCCACTCACCAGAAAAGGTACAGATATTGCACCACTCGGCTGGGAAAAAAGGTCCAATAGTAGCACGGGCGCACCCCACAACGACGCACCCGGCCCCTGCCTTGAAGGCAACGCAGGGCGAGAAGGTAGAGTCCGGAGACGGAAGGTTGAGCTCCTTCGGGGAGATGGCCGCTGACACGAACGTCAGCAGCGGTCCATGGCTGCTTTCAGCTACAGGCTTCCAGAACTCTCACGAACATGGCAGTCCAATAGCTCGATCCCTGAGAACGACTTCTTCGACGTCTTCCCACGCTTTAGGACTGATGGTGTTTTTTTGACGATTTCGCGTCGCGACAATAGCAGAGTCGAGACGTTGACTTGAAGACCAGCCACAGTAGCACCGTCTCAGGCGGTTGGAGCTCGTTCAGCAAAAGGTTTGTCTCATAAAACTTTCGTTGAGACCCGATCACTACCTGGAACCTCTACAAGACAGCGTCTTGCAGACTGGACGCCGATGGGGTTGAAAGCATCCCAAGAAGACCGGCTTACGCACAATGGCGTCTGCCCAGGCGAACTGCAGGGCCAAACATAACACCATCTAGCCGCCTACAACTTGTAGCTCTCCTGGCCATTTCGATAATGGTATCGATACCGAAATTAGTATGACATAACATGACAGTACGATGAGTGTAATTGACTAGACGTAACATGAAAATCATGACATTTATGTCATGAAAGTCATGATTTACATTTCATGGCATTGCTGCTCTTGCGGGGGTTCCGTTCATATTACATTTTGCAAAAATGGTATAGTATGACATGAATGCATGGCAAACATAAGTAACAGACCCTAACGTGGAAATCATGACATGCATGTCATGATTTGATCAATATGACTAGTCATGACTACACACCACACTCATGGTGCACTAGATTACATGCTACGCTCATAGCGTGCTTGCAGCCTTTTCGCTAGTTTCACATATACAACTTGTTATTACGCGACGTGTATCGACGAAGAAGCTAAATGACACGTCCGAACATGATAATCATGACGTGGAAGTAAGGTAAGGAATAATTTTCATCCAACTCGTAATGTTGTGCTCATTTTAAAGTGACATATAAACTTTGCTTATTCGTGCTTCGGATATCATGGATTCCCACAGTACGTGGGATCTGCCTTTTTTTTTTTTTAGTGAGCCGAAATTGGAACAGGTGGTGGGCGCCGGCGTTGCCATGGAACGCGTCTCGCATGCAAGTCGAGATGTGACTCGCCTAAAGTGTATCTTACACAGTGTGACCATGGGAGCGCCTGCTACTGGACGCACGTGGTTTGTAGTAGCCATGCTAACGACGCCGTCAGCAAGAGCAGTAGCGAGGTGTTGTATGAAAGCCACCATGAGGTGACATTTCAGGAATGTATTCATGAAACAAGCGCTGTGATTGGAAGTGATCTTTGATGTCAGCAGGCGAGTGAAATTCAAAAAAGAACGTTTCTCATCGTTGCCTGCTCGAGTTTTGAACTTTGATGATTCGTAACTTCACTTTCCGTGAATCAATTTCCGTCATTCTTGGAGCATTCGCCTCAGTAATCATCGCTACACGCGTTTCAAAGCTAAATGGGCTGTCCCAAAATTGTCACAGGGCTTATTTAATGTAGACTCCAAATGCAGGCCAGCTAATAAAAAATGCTCGTTAAAAACAGCACGAGAAAAAGAAAATGCAAGGACAGCTGCTGTCGTGTGTACTTTTTTTTCCATGCCATTTTGTCACTTCAAATTATTAGTTACCGTGGTTCGATTTGTGGCTGGTCAAGTACCTCGTGTCCCGAGAAAATATTGCTGAACTACAGGAACTATGAAAAAAAGCGTTGTTGTGGAGGAAGCTTTAATACATTGAACCTATGAAATGCGGACGGGGAATCGACAAACGTTCGTTGAAACGAAGTTCATTGAATCAGAGCTTGACTGTATCCTACACTACTTGAGGAAACAATGAAGTCCACATGAGTACTTGCTCCACCTTAGGTCTCCATGTTCAATTAAACCGCCCTATCGTTTCCTTACATTCACCAAGCAAGTGAATTTATGCACAGGTGCAGCACACTTACAATTTTGTGCATTTTAAGTGTTAATTAGGTGCATTTCCTGCCCATAATATTTTCAGGTGGAAGAAGTTTTTATGAATTCTCTATTCAATGAAATACTTAGACAAATGCTACATTACAGAAGCATTACGATAGAATGAATATTCATCAGACAGGATGTCATCATGCCACCTATAAAGGTAAACGAAGCTTGCAACTTTATCGTGTTTTAGCCGTTGCCAAGTGCACATTCAAGAGTAATGATGTGCTCACATAACATGTGATTATATCCACAATTGACAATTTAGGAGCTAAGAATGATAACACACCTGGTGTGGGGCACCTGCTGGTATGAAGACTGCTTCTCCAAGACACTGGGCAACAGCGTAGCCCTCAACGTCATATTCAAAAAGAAGGCGCTCGCGGAGCTCGTGATCCAGATACCAGCTCTGGTCATGGATGGGATCATGATGGGGCTCCAGCTTCTCGCCACGCTCCAGTGCCACCTGTACCATAAGCAAGATGGCCTTCATGAGAGTTGAAATTTACAAAACTGCACTCTCAGAACATTTACATGCACAGTTGACTTGACGCTGCCACATGTGCAGCCTTGAGCACTGGTTCCACTGAAGCTTTCAAACTTCTACACACTGAAAAACAGTTTCGTTATGAATATACCTCAAGGATAACGCTTGATCGACCACCTTTGCGGTACAAAGCAGGCCGTTGAGGGCCATGCCATTTGCTGCTCAAGTCCTTGGGTCTATGGTGAACGGCCACTTTTTTACGGCGTGAATATTGAGGTGCCTACAAGAGTTCTGCAATCATGTGTCTGCTCGGCGCTGTCGGAAAACAACAACCAGTTTGTCTCACTTGAAATCTTCACTTTAGTGCTGCGTGCGTAGTCCATTAAAATAAATGATGAGTACAATGAGAACATCTCATATTTATACCCAATCAGTCATGCTAGAAGCGCTGTATTGTGCAGTGCTCAGCTGCATCGAAGTTTTTTGCGCCACATCGTACGTTATGTACAACCTCGGCTGTTTTACAGCTCAATTAGTGAGCATAATGCAGGCAATGACGCACATGGCCACTGTGATTGTGTAGGTTTCCCGCAGCGGCGCGTTTCAAATGACATTGACACCTGATTTCACACCATGAGCACTTTGGAGCATACCTTGCAGAAGAAAAAATAGTGCTTTGGAGCAGAAAAAAAATGCTGGTTTGTGTTTTAGAAGCAGTTATTAAATTTGCCATACTTCAATTGGAGTTTACAGCATGGTCGAAACAATTCATAAATATTATTATTTATTATGCGATATATTTAACAGACAACAATCAATGCGAATTTCATGGAGCAAACAATGAGCAGTTGTAAAAAGTTTGCTGTGAATTGAGCTATAAATTGAAGTACTTTTATTTGTGGCAGAAATCAAATCAAACAGAAAATGTTGAGCGCCGCATTTTCGATGTATCTACCGTACCATTCAACTGTTGCCAAATAAGCAGCAGATACGAGATAAAAGCGCTCCTCCTCATTTTCCCATTTCACCACACTAGCCTGAATGTCAAGCTAAACACAGCCAAATGAGTTATACGCTTAATATGCCCTTGTGGCATAAATGAGATCAGAGCCGATTATGCTGCACATTAGTCAGGGGCGAATCCAGCCACTCATTTGGGGGGGGGGGGGGGGGGTCGAAGTGAAGAGGGTGAGGAGGGGGATAATTTTTTTTAGTAGGCACTACTATCGAAAGAACCCCATCACAATAAAAATACTGTAAATTGGTGCTTACAGTGGTTCCACTCACTTCTTTTAATCAGTTTTTTAATCGTAATAAATCGGACAAATTTTAATCGTAATAAATTGGACAAATTACCACAAATTACGGGCTACCACACCTCAGATCGATGCCCATTTTGCTCTGCTAAGCATTTGGTACCAAAGCGATTACGTGGCCAGTTCGAATAAGGTTTGGTGTCTTGACGGGCAGTCATAAGGCTGAATATATGCAAGAAAAAAAAAGACATTATGCAAGTATTTCCAGTCGCAGTGAATAAATGAGCAGATTGAACTCCACCCCATTTTATCCTTTCTCGCTCGTGCTTACCAGTTCCAGTGACAGTACGTACCCCGAACAACAGGCGCATCGTTAAGAATGCATGAGTCAATAGGCAATAATGAGGCGTGACCCCTGACCAAAAATTTTGAAGGAGCTTTTGAGCTGTTTGGGCACCTTTACTGGAATTGGGAAGGGTGAGAGCACAGCGAGTGAGACAAGAGGGGTGGTAGTACATACCACACCTGTTGTCTCGCTCGCTGTGGTGTCACTGCGGCATTACAATACCGTAATACCATACCGTACTGTATTACCGAAACTTTGTGGAGAGCTCTAAATGCACTTCGGTCCAATCCTGGTGCTGCCGGCGTGTTGCATAACGACATCCCATTTCCTCCCTCTGCACCACCGAGAAATGCGCGGAGAAGGAAAAGGAATGATAGTTGCTCCTCCTAAACCCCCTCGATGTCGTTTTTAACTTTCAAGACGACAAGACACGAATACGAGCCCTTAGGAGCCTTCTTTAATTAGAAACAAGAAGATAAATGCCAAATAGTATTTTTGAAAACTGTGCCCTGGGCTGCACACGTTAGTAGGTGGTTTTGGAGCTGTGTATATGCTGGCTATAAATGAAACTATTTATTTGAGAGAGTGCTTCGTAATGAGCCACAGATGTAATTATAGTAATTATAGTTGCTTTCCCTGTAGCTTCATTTTTTTTTTTTTGTACAGCTTTCCTTTCAATTGTGCGCACTTTTCGAAAGGTGCGGAAGTACTCGGACAATGAAGCTTTACTGCAAATACAATGTGAATTGGCGGACTAGACTGACGAAAAAAATGCCCAATATATATATGAAGCTAGAGCACCCACCATCAGGTTGGCAAATTTTTGCCCTGTAAAACACTTCGGTGAGACCCCAGCGGTCTAACAGTGGCTTTGGGAAAGACTCACAGGCTTCGACTTTGCGTTTAGGCCTGAGACGACTGAAAGATGAAAGGCCTTGCTCAAAGTGGTGCATTCGAAACTTTTGATGGCCACTCGACCCACTGGTTTTTACGTGATGATCGGCTTGGCTGACCGACTGAGTGAACACGGGCGTTTAATATAGAGAACTAACAAGCATTTAATTTGAAAGCGGTCAATGGCAAGAGCAACCAAAATCATTGAATAAAGGAAAAAATATGGACAAGGAAAGAAAAGGCAGAAAAATACACCCTGAAAATATAACTACAGGTACAAAAAAGCTAGACAACACAGTATGTTAATAAAATAACTCGATAAGAAGGACTCTAAAAGAAACTAAAAAAAGTTATGACTCTGCTATCGCTTAGGAGCTTCTTGTGCTACATATCGCACACTAGCTCAGCGATAGTTACAGCTGTGGATGATGAAAACGGTAAAAAAATCACAATAAAAAGTTCCGTACTGACTATGGTGCTCAAAGAAGAGATGACTGCTGCTGATAATCTCGCCAGCTTTAGTATAGACGATGAGAGTGCCCGGTGTTGCAGCCGACTCGAATCGTTCACAGCTTAAAAAATTGTAACTCTCAACAACATTTGCCGCGCTCTTCGGTGGTTCAACGTCAACTGCAGAAGCGGCCAAATTTTATGCAAGCGTGTGATGTAGGAAAGCCTCCGAGACATTTCCCCACAGTCAGTTGTGGTAAACTTCACTCCCGTCACCACGGCACCTTTCCTTCGACGAAGGGGTGCGCTTGCGAGGATTTCAGACGTTTGTAACAGGGATCTTCCTTCAACAGTCATGTTGTGACCAGCAGTCCTGTGCTACAGCACACATTCTAACCTCCGTCGTCCACGATTTCCGTTGGCGAAACGATCAATAACATAACGCAGTTGACAGAAATGTTTCTGTGCGTGTGTAGCAAGGGGAGGTCGGCCAGGCGTGTTTCGCTCATTTGTGATCGCAACCATGTCTTTAATCGGTGGTGTGTAGAGAAGGCTCTTTTGGCATTCGCGATGCTTACAGGGAGGATGGCCAGTATTTGTAAAAGTGTCTTAATCGAAGGAAATATGTCAATGTCGCACATGCAGAGTGCTTCAATAGCAGTCGCAGGGATGTCCACGCCTTCTTCTTTTTCACGCTTTCACTTTCCGCGCCATAGCCGCAGTTCTTCTGCAATAACATCCACAGTTATCGGGCCATGCCCTAGGAGTGATCCAAAACGCTGGGACACCTGCATTACTATTTTTGTTTTGTCACCCAATGATATGTTATTCAGCAGCTGGAACGGCATAAATAGAAATAGCTCGCAAACTCCAAAAGTATATTCAACAAATCACCATTTGACGTCTGCCAACACGTTATCCAGCAGTGGAATATATACTGACGTCCTGTAGAAACTGACTTGATCAAGCCCTGGAGTATTGAACCTGCGCAACTGTCTCTTCGTGATGCGTGGAAGCCGCAGCATTGTCTCAAGTTCGTCTGCGAGTGCGATGGCTTGCTCATAGAAAGGTGTAAACGCCTCTTCACTGCTTCACCTCTCAGCATTCAGGGTAGCCGCAGTATCTGTGAATGTATTCTTCGCTGTGTGCACATCAACGCACCGCTTTTGGCACAGGCGTCTCGATCGAAGCGTGTGCGCCAATATGTCCGAGAGGCTAGCTATCGCTACTATGAATTCACCATCGCCCACAGCGACACGGAGAGTCTTTGCTTTTGCAGCGCTTTGAAGCTTTTTCCAGTTAGCGACAACGTCAAGAGCTTTCGCCACGAGGACAAGAGAGTCCAGAAATTGGATAATGCTGTCATGTCGCTCCACCCATCTCGTCTCACTAAGCCCTTTAAGTTGATGGCCAAGTATGCTTTTCAGCACACTGTTTCGTTTCGGGGAGGCGGTGAAGAAGGAAATTACCTCTTTCATTATCCCCACCGCGTTCCTGACGGCTTCAACACGCTATGACTTCGATAGCAACAAGTTTAATGCGTGATTGAAATAGGAGAGTGAACTGCTTTTGTGGCACACCACCTTATTTTAGAGACGGCACCACACAGTTCTGACACCATGACGCTGCACCAATATGTAGCTATGCCAATGCACCTGCCCAGTCCAGTTGTAGTTCCTTCAGCATATTCAGAACCCGCTCACTAAGAACTCTCCCTGTCACGGCGGGCTCAGTTACGTTGGATTCCACAGCATGGCTGTCAATGCGAGGATCAATGAACTGGACGAAGTCCTCTTGTGCTACGTTCTTGTGTACATACTGCAGAACAAGACTTAGGTGGAACGATTGTGAGATACAATGGTTGTTTCATCGAATATAATGCTGTAGATGCTCAATGCATACACCCACTGAATAAGTGTCGCAAGAACCTTGTCACCACAGCACTTTATTAATTCGTTCTGGGTCTTGCTGATGTACGTGGCTCGAGATTATGAGTTGGCAAGGTGCTCTTGAAGTTCCGCGTCACCGCTTGA